CGGTTTCCAACCACTGTCTCCACCAGGCCGCTCTCCAAACAGCTATGCAGTTGGTGGAGCAGAGCAGCAATCTGAGCTGGATCCGTGCCAGGAGCGCCCAGGTAATCCCACAGAATAGAGCTCACAAGCTGAAAGACGCGAGTGTGCTGCTCCATGTAGCTGACATGACCGAACTTTAGCAGCGGCAGCATCACCACAAAGGTAACTCCGGGGCTGGTTGTGTGCTCGATTTGGGAACGGAGTAGGCTGCACAGGAGGTTAGGGTAAGTTGAGGCAGGATTTGGATAGCAACAGTAGCTTACCTGATTAGATCAAACAACGTGGTGATGGCCGACACCTGCAGCTCCTTGTCGCTTTGGGCAAAACAAGTCACCAGGCACAGAACCTTCAGCCAGTTGGGAAGCTCCGGTTCTAAAACGGTAACTGATTCAATACCAGGTGGGATATACAAGGTTATATTCAATTCACAAACCATTCTTGTCCAGCACTATGTGCTTGTTGCAGTTGGGGAATGTGGACATCTCCACTAACAGGGTAGCCGCCAGTTTGACGGCTCCGCGCAGTGCCAGGCTCAGCTGGAGCTCGGACAGCTGTTGGACACTGCGCTGCGTCTGATTGTCGATGAGCAGGCTCTGCTGCTTGTCCTCCTGGGCCTCGCTGTCGCTGCTCAACTCGCTGGCACTGGCAGGCAGCGGCAGGGACTTGTTGAGCAGGCGCTGCAACTGCTTGGACCGCGGCACGATATCCACGCGAAGCAGATTGAAAAGTCGCTCTATTTGTGACTCCCTCTCGGAACACTCGTGCTCCAACACCTGCTCGACCATGAATAGGTTGGAGGCGTGACTATTGCTGGTGCTGTTGCTGATAGTGCGTTGCAGTTGGACCCGCACGGCACACTCCTTCGGCTCAGACTTAATCTGCAGCAGTTTGCGGGCCAGGTACACCTCGAAGAATATCTCATACTGGCGGATGCACTTCTCCAGGATGGAGAATCCCCGCTGCTGCGTGGCCCGGCTCTCCTCGTCCAGTTGAAATTGCGCCGTTTGATCCGGCGGTGCACTTTTGGGCTCCTCCTCACTTGGGGCATCATTCACGTCAGCTGCGGTGTTCGATTGCACTAGAACGATGTCCTTGGGTCTTTGCTTTTTGGGGCTACGTATGAAGGGCACCTTCGCCTTGGCCTTGAGCTTTTTTATGCTTCTGGGGGTATCCAGGTCAGAGGATGATTGCTGGCCGGTATCCGAGGCGCTTATCTGTGTTTAAAATTGAATAATTAGGGTTTATCTTAGAAGGGGATGAGTCGCTTACATCTTTGTCTAGCTCTGAGAGTCGGGATACGGACTTGGCCTTCTTCTTGCTGGGACTCTGACGGCCAACGCTTTGATTGGATGCCGAGCGTCGGATAAGATCCTCGTCGTTGGGGTCCGAGCTGTGCAGTGAGTTCTCCGCAAACTGATTCAGCCGCGAGTCGGACTTGCTCTTCTCCAGCGAACCAGCGCCCTCGACTTTGCCGATATCGCTCGTCGCAGTGTTCACGGTGATTTTTTCGTCCGAAGAGGATCCCCCGCTTTGTTCTATCAGCTTGTTCAGCTTTATGGGGCTTCTGTGGGATAAGAAAGAGATTAACCGACGATCGGATGATTCTTCTTTTGTTTGTAGTTACGTTATCATGGGCTGCACCCTGGAGACGATCTTCATGCACAGCTTGAGCGAGGCGGTGATCTCGTTGCTGTTCACGCGATCCATATGGAGGGAGAGCAGCTGGGTGATGGCCAGGAAAACCTTTGGAAGGTAGACCCGGGTGGTTTCCGTATACATTTCCAGCGACACCGTCTCCAGCAGGAATTCGGTTAGCACGCAGATTTCCATCACACTGGGGTCCCCGGATCCCACCTCGCAGGGATATTTTGCAGTAGGGTCTGTAGTTGGTAGGGGCTTCTCCTGGGAGGAGTTCGCTTGCTGGCAGGCTCGTTCGAACATATTGGTCATGTAGCTCCAAATGTAGGCCGGGTCAAAGGTGGCAAACAGAAGATTGGCGGACTTGAGGGCCTCCGCGTTTCCACTGGAGATGTACATGGCCCGCATTATGTCATGGAGTACGTAGTCGAGCACGGCGCTGCCAATATCCGCCTTGTCGAGCAGGGACAGCATAATCCTGTAGGGCTTCAGGTCCATGGGAGCACACTCCAGGCTAAGCCGGAGGGTGGTGATTAAAGCTCTTATTAGAATGTGCCTTGAGTGCTTTATGAAGTACGGCTCTGGTTCCTCGTCGGGGGGAGCGTTTGAGGCGTCCAATGATAGGGTGTCGTATGTGGGCGAGTTCTTGGCTACCTCGCTGCCAAGCAGCCAACTGAAGAGCCGGCGGTTTAGAGACATATCCCTGCGAAGGATGGTGTTCAGTCCGTTGGTGACCAGCTTGACCAGCTCATCTTCGGAAAGCAGCGCTGTGTGCATGGGAAACCCAAGCAACAGGAACTCGAGTGTGTTCCGCTGGACCAGAATCAGAGAATCATTCAGGCAAGCGCACAGGGCTGACATCATGATCTCCCTGTTGTGGCCCATGATGTATATTTGCTCCTGCATGTCCAGCCGCTTGTTGAAGTGCTCCAGGAGGTATGTGATCGCGGGCAGGCGAATCGCCGCATTTTTGGCAACCGATTCCCAGAGAACCGTATAAAAGTGCATGGGGTTGACGGCGTTGCAGACATTCTTAAGCAGAATGCTTATTCTTTCGAAGTGGTCCAGGCCGCAGTCGTAGCCAGGAAGAACTCCGTTCAGGAAGCCGCTCAAAGCCGGTCGCAGCTTGTCGCCCAGGGGTACAAAATAGTCCTCGTAAATGGTGAGTAGCTGTGGGCGAACATTCATAGCAGCGTAGCCCAGAAGTGGAAACAGACCAGCGCTAAGGGAGGTACGAGATCCGATTAGTAGTCATAATATGCATGGTGTGATAACTTACCTATAGATAAATTCCGTGGCCAGACGTTCTGGTCCTGTTTTACTGAATATCACCGAATAGGTCTCCAGGGCCTTGAGATGCACCCCGGAGGGCAGGGCGGGATGCATGCATTGGGCCAGACGCTTCGCTATCTTCAGCCGCCTGGGAATGACCTGGTATTGCGTATTGCTCAATATAGCCTGTCGAAAACGGGAAGTGACACATTACAAGAGCAGAAAACAAACAATGGACCGATAAGGGCTCCTACGGTGAGTCAAATTCAACAAACTCTTATCTCCTTTGCCACATATTATTTGTGATAACCAGAAATAATATGAGCAGACAAAAATTAATATTTTTGCGGTTGTTATCGCACTTCATACTTAAGTGAATTTATCCACATTTTTTTAATGATAATTTTTTGAATTCGCATTAAGTTTTTTCTGATTAAAATAATCTGAAACAGTTCTTAAATATTTAGTTCATTTTTGTCCTTGGGGGGAAGCTATATTCCCAGAACGTTGCCTTTGGGGGCAAGAGCTAATGAAATGTACATTTTTAAACAATATATTCCGTTGGCGCATAAAACGAAATATATACTCGACTAAATACTATAATAAATATTATTAATTAGAGCCCCTCACATTAGCACCTATTCTACCCTATTTAGCCTAGTGATTTTGCCATATATACATTCATTCTCGCAATAAAGAGCTATTCTAACGCTAACGATTTAATACCTTACAAAAATCATTTTAACCTTGTAATAGGCAATGTAACACACAAAGCGTTTTAAAATTAATGGGTCGTGTCGGTTTCTGCATGAACATTATTACATTGGCCCATAAAAGTAGTCGATTGAGCGAATTAAATGAATACTACTCTGGAGTACAGCACACATGCACCGATCCCAGCCGTTTCCGTACCTTGCTAAGCTTTCCGAGGGCCGATATCAAATCCGCCCACTCGCTGGAGTACTCGAAACTGCGCAGCGCCTTGTCGATGTTGGTCATGTAGGTCCGGTACTTGGCCTCGGCCATCAGCTTCTGCTCCTCGACGAGTGCGTCCGCCGACTCCATGATGGTAGTGTGTGGATCTCCCCTGGCTGTCCGGCTGGCTAAGGTATCCGATATTGACTTGGTTCGGTGGGTGGGCTCTGCGAAAACAAAATCAATAGCAATTAGCGAACGCAAAGAGGCGAGCAAACACTTGTTGATGTCGGTGTCCTTGAAACCGTTCGTGTCTCAGCTTCAATATGGGCTGCATATTTGAAAAGTGTGGCTTGCGGAGCACCTGCTTGTTACTGGGAATTGAAAATAGAAATGGGAATGGGAATCGGTCGGACAGAAGTCTTTGTTTCCAGCCACTTTCACACACACTCTCGCGTTCTTCCCATTAATTGGAGGAATTTTCAATTCAATTCAAAGCACAAATCACCTCTCGTGACCCTTGTGTGTGTATTTAATTTTTAAATCGAACTGAAACTATATCGTCGCGTGGCAGGAGCAGAAGAATAGCACTCGGAATCAGAATATTTATTCATTTCGCGTTTCTCTCGAGTGCAGCAAACAAGAAAAGAGAGCAAATAGAGAGCGCTCGACCAGCTGATGACGAATATTTTGCACTGGTATAGACCAGGGGGGGTGGGAGGCGCGTGACGGGGGCAGACAAACTTTTTCCAGCGCTTTGAACTCGAAGTCCCGGCTTTTCTGTTCACATCCTCCAATGCTCACCGTATCCCACGTCTACCAGAGCATCGTTTTTGTATAATTCGCGTTGATTTGACGAAAATATCTTCTTAATTAACGAAATTTGTTATTGTTTCGCCAGGAGTAGCACTGGCTGTTCGCAGAGTTGCAATGGTATTAGAGATGGGCTAGTGACTCGCTGCAATCACGACAAATTTAATTTTAATCTGCGTGTCGTGCCTGCAAAGACTTATCTTACATTCCATCTCTATGTTAATCGGTCTGGCAGCACTGGTTTTTGCCGCTCTTTTCAAAATTGTTCTGAAGCCAAGACAGTTCTGAACCAGAAATGTATTAAATTAAAATACAAATATCTATTTAAGGTCAAAAGATTTTATATTTCCTTCACAAACTTTCAATAAATTACTAACTGAATATTTTGCCACTTCAAATAAATACAAAATCCGTTAAATGCAAACGCAATAAATTAAACGAAATTAATAGAACTGTGCCAGTTCGTGACTAAGAATTCGCCATCGAATGGGTGATTAGAAGGTTTGAGGTAAAAATGTCCAGTATAGCTATAGAATCATAGTTCGTGAGCCTCGGATCTACTTCTTCTTTTTGCCTTTGCCTTGTCCACCGGCGGCCGGTGCACCAGTCAGCGCCGCCAGTTCATTCTTGAGGCCAAGGAGTATATCAACTTCAGGCTTCCACACGGACGCATCGCCGGAGGCTTTCAGGGTTCGCACTTTTTCCCCCTGCTGAGCAATTTTGTCTTCCAATGCTTTTACTTGGGCAGGATTGGCCGCGGATGATGGAGCAGGAGCTGGGGGAGCAGGTGCCGCCTTGGCAGCTTTTTGTGCCGCCTCCAGTTGTTTCTTCAGACTCAGTAGAATATCCACCTCCGGCTGCCACACGGACTTGTCTTTTGTGCTGCCTTTGAGTTTGCGCACCTTGTCGCCCTGTTCTTGGATGGCCTTCTCCAGATCCTTCACGGATTGAGAGCCGCTCGTAGGAGCGGAAGCGGGAGTAGCTGTGGATGCTGGTGCAGTCTTTTTGGCCTCCTCCAGTTGCTTCTTCAGGTCGAGAAGCTTGTTCACCTCTGGCTGCCACTGAGCCTTGTCCTTGGTGCTCGCCTTCAGCTGGCGCACTTTGTCCGCCTGAGCTGCCACAGCCTGTTCCAAGTCAGCGGCACTTGCCTGCGTCTTCGGGCTAGCCTTGGTCTCCTGGGCTCCTCCATATTTCCCCTTCAGTTCATCGATGAAAGCCTGCTCCAGCTTGGCAAAAAGCGGAGCCGGTTTGCCGATTTTGTGGCCGGCAGGAAGCAGCAGAGTGGCAAGAGGTTTCCTGTGGTGAACAAAGATTAGAATGAATCTATTAATGGCTTGGTAATTCACTTACTCTGCATTGAGTGGCGTCTGTTTGGCGTTTAGCTGGCTGAACAGCGTCCTGGCTGTGGTCGGCATGTAGGGGAAGAGGAGATTGGCCAGCAGGCAGGCTATGTTGGCCGACAGACCGATGATGGTCGCGGCGCGCTTCTTCTGCTCATCGCTGCCCTTGAGGAGCACCCACGGCTGCTGGGTTTGCATGTAACCATTTCCGTGTCGCGAAATGGCCAACAAGTGACGAATACCGTCGCGGAGCTTGGCCTTCTCCAGGGAGTTAATGTAACCCTTGAGCTCACGGTTGATCAGGGCCAACAGAATCAGTTCGTCCTGGGTAAGCGCCACTTCGGGAACAGTGCTGTTGAAGTTCTTTTCGCAGAAGACCAAGGCGCGATTCACAAAGTTTCCTAGGTTGTTGAGCAGCTCCGAGTTGTTGCGAGCAGCCAGGTCGTTCCAACTGAAGCTCGAATCCTGACCTTCAGGGCGGGCGGAGGCGAGATAGAAACGCCAGACATCAGCCGGAATGCCTGTTTCTTGAGCGTCGTTGCCGAAAACTCCAATGCCTCGACTCTTGCTGAACTTGCCATCCTCGTAGTTCAAGTACTCCGTGGCCATGATGTGGGAGACCAAGGTGTGTCCTTTGTTGATGGCCAGCAGCACACTGGGCCACACCACGGAGTGGAAGGGCACGTTGTCCTTGGCCATGAACTGGAACAGCTCCACATCGGTTCCCTTTGCGGGCTGCCACCACTGCTGGTACTCCTTAGTGTAGCGCTTGGTCATGGAGACGTAGCCGAAGGGAGCGTCGAACCAGACGTAGAACACCTTCTTTTCGAAGCCCTTGTGGGGCACTGGGATGCCCCATTTCAGGTCACGGGTGATGCAACGTGGCTTCAGGCCCTCCTTCAGCCACGCCCTTGTGATGACTTTAGCGTTGTTGGTCCAGCCGCCCTCCGACTTGTCCACCCAATCCTTCAGTTGCGGTTCAGCCTTGGGCAGATCGATGAACAGCTGGTCGGAGGAACGAAGCACGGGAGCGCTATTGCACACTTTGCAGCGCGGGCGGATCAGTTCGGTGGCGTTCACAAGTTTGCCGCACTTGTCGCACTGATCCCCGCGGGCATCTTCATAGCCGCAGCCAGGATGCGGGCAAGTACCCTCCACAAATCTAATCAGAAGATTATTAAAATATAGTTCATAAAATAAGACAAGAAATACCCACCGATCAGCTAGGAAACGATCACACTTTTGGCAAAGCAGCTGCTCCACGCTCTCTGTGATGATGTAGCCAGCACTCAGGACGTCCTTGAAAGCCTCTTGTACAATGCTATAAAAGATTGATAGTTAGTCACCGATTACTCCACTGATTCCAAGCACTGAACTCACTCTGTTTGCTCCTGGGTGGTGGTGCGTCCAAAGTAATCGAAGCCAATACCAAACCAGCGGTAGATGGAGTTGTGCAGCTCAAAGTACTTGTCGCAGATCTCGCGGGGAGTTAGGTTCTCGGCCAAAGCTTTGTTTTCCGTGGCCGTGCCATACTCATCCGTGCCGCAGATCAGCAGGGTGTTGTAGCCAGCCGACCGGGAGTAGCGGGCAAAGATGTCCGCAGACAGAACGCAGCCGATAATGTTGCCAAGGTGAGGAACGTTGTTGACATAAGGCAGAGCAGAGGTGATGAGCACATTGCGTTGGCCAGCCTTGGGGAGGATTGTGCGCTCCTCCTTAACCTCTTTGGGAGCTGTGTAAGTGAAGGCAGCCTGGGCGGCGCTAATTTCCTCATCAGTAACCGTATCGGCAACTGTGGTGTCCACCAGTGTGGTGTCCACCAGCAGCTTGCCCGCATCGGCCAGACTGAGGCGCTTGAGAGGAACGTGATGCAAACCGCCATAGCGGTTCGACTGCTGCAGGGCATTGAAGCTGAGATCCTTTAGTGGCTGTTCCGAAAGCACCTCTTGGACCTCCGGTAGCGCTTTGACGCGGCCATACCAATCCCTCAGGCTCTCCACGTTCTGGGCGCCCTTCAAGGTGCCATCGGGGGCCAGGAGCGACCACACGGCAATGTCGGCGGCGGTGAGCTTGTCGCCAGCGAGGTAGGGAGTGGCTTTCAGGCTGTCGTCCAGTTTCTTTACCAGGGCATTCAGAACGGGCAGAGCGTTGGCGTCCGCCTTGTGTCCTACGGCCATGTGATGAGCCAGAGCTGGAGCCAGCAACGTGGCCGACCACTCGAGCCACTGAGAAGAGTCAAAGGGAATGGATATTAGTTTAACCTTCAGGGGTCATCACCCCAATTGGGCATCATTACCCACCTCGTCCCGCAGTTGTCCCTCATCCACCAAGAAATACTTGGCAATGGCCGAGGGCGAGAATAGACGAAGACCATTGTCCAGTTCCAGGGTGGGCAGTACCAGCAGGTCCTTATACTTGGCATCTGAAATTTCCACCCGTTATTGCATCAGAAATGAGTCACTAAAATGCGTTTCCAGTTGGGGAAACACATTTTGCAGATTCCACTCACCATTTAGGTTAACCAGCTGCACCTTCACCGCCTGCTTGGCAAACTTCGCCAGCATCAGCAGCTGCAGCCCCAGCGGATTGCCCTCGTTTGTGTAAATGATCATCGTGCCGGCGTTTGGGGCTAATTTTAATTCAATTTACGTGGCAAAAAGGGGTAGAACCTAACAAAAATCTACGGCCGCGCGAGAACTTTATTTTGCTAGTGATGGCAAAACTCGCTCGATACATCGCATCCGCGACCTGTAACACTGTCTGCAAGGAGGCTGCCAGATTTTTGATCTACCGTTTTATTGTCGTTGCCACAAATTGCCACATCCTGTATGGAAAATTTTAAATGATTTTTTTACGTACTACAAGTTTACCTTAAAACATTGTTTTTTTCGGAATTTGCATTTGGGTTTTTTTAAATATATAGTATTGGTGGCTGCCAGTTTTTCCAGAAGTTCAGCGCTTGTCAACACTTATTGGCAGCTGTCTTAAAACGGCAACAGCTGTTTGACGTACAGTTTGAGAAACACTACTGTCTTTATTTACAATTTGGAAGAGAAAACAAATTGTGCCTTATTTTTGTTTTTTCTCGTAATTTAAGGAAAAATAATACTTGAAAATGGGTGAACGTAAAGGCCAAAACAAGTACTATCCGCCGGACTATGATCCGAAGAAGGGTGGTCTCAACAAGTTCCAGGGCACCCATGCCTTGAGGGAACGCGCCCGGAAGATCCACCTTGGAATAATCATCATCAGATTTGAGATGCCTTACAATATCTGGTGCGACGGTTGCAAGAACCACATCGGTATGGGGGTGCGCTATAATGCCGAGAAGACCAAAGTAGGAATGTACTACACCACGCCCATCTTCAAGTTCCGGATGAAATGCCACCTGTGTGACAATCACTTCGAGATCCAGACGGATCCCGGCAACCTGGACTATGTGATTCTATCCGGAGCTCGACGGCAAGAAAACCGATGGGACCCGCTGCAAAACGAGCAGGTTGTGCCCGAAACCAAAGAGGTGCAGAAGCGGCTGTTTGACGATGCCATGTACAAGCTTGAGCACAAGGCTAAGGATGCCCAGGTGGCCGCCGACTCCAAACCTGTGCTGCAGAAGCTCGTGGAGCGTAACTTGGGCGTGTGGGACGACAGCTACGAGGCTAACTGCCGTCTGCGGGCCGAATTCCGGCAACAAAAGCAGGAGATCAAGGGTCAGCAGGAACTGGATCGTCAACTGCTGGCCAAAAGCAGTCTGGACATTCAACTTCTTCCGGAGACGAGTCAGGACCGGGAGATGGCCGCTCTCATGAAGCTGCAAACAAAGTCGGCGTTGGAAAAGCAATCAGAGCAGCGGCTGGAGCTGCTCATGCGACCAGCCCTTCCAGGAGCCACGGCCACCACTTTTGGCGGCCTCAAGCGGCAGAAAGCGCTAAACAATCACCTTCACTTGGAAGATTTGGGAATAAGGCGTAAAAAATTAAAAGAATCACAGCCCGAAACATCCACAGTAAAATCAGCCACCCATAGTTTAGTTGGAGACTATTCCTCCTCCTCGTCCTCAGAAGAATCGTAGTTTTATGGAGGACTTCTGGTCCTCACTCTTGTCTTTGAAAGAAACTTAATTGAATTCGCCATAGATTTATTTATTTTTTAGACAATAAATTAAGAATAACAAACAACATGCTTGGGACGAAAATCCTAATACAATCCCTCATTGGGGACCTCCTCTTTAGGCTCGCCAACTTCCTCCTGGTTCTGACTATCCATTGTCTTGTAGAGGACAACCTGGACACGCTTGCAGAACTCCACCTCCTGGTTGTTGTTGATCATGTCGTCTAAAAGGTCCTCGATCAGACGCAGCTTGTTGTAGCACTGATCGCGCTCCTCTACCATTCTATCACTCTTTAGGTTCATTGTCTGCCGCTCCTCCATGAGCTCCTTGAGTGCCTTGTTGTTGTCGTCCTCTGCCTCGTGCTCTGGGGTGGTTGGTTCCTTAACAGCCAGTGGCTCCTCCGCCTTGGCAAAGACTCGTGGCTTGATGGGCTTTGCCACGGGCGCATTGGCCATGGACTTGATGTTCTCGAGACCAGGAGCTTGGGAGTCGAAGAACTTCTTGAACCACTGCAGAAACTCAAAGTTGTCCTGGAAGCGTCCCTTGATCAGGCGGTCTATGGGCACGGTTTTGTCCAGTTTCAGGCGGTTAAAGGCTCCCTGGAACAGTTTCAGGTTGTGCAGATACTCGTGCTCCAGCTTGGCGCTCATCTTGACGCGTTTTAAGTTGATGCAGTTGGGGAAGATCATCTCCATCATCTGACAGTAGGCGGATCCTGAAAAGGCACCCAGTTTTCAAGTGAACAGGAACAATCTTCTTGGCTGCGCAACCCACCTGAACAGAGCTCCTCGATCTTCTTGAACTGACCCTGGACCATGTCGTTGACCCACTGGAGCATGTCGTGGCGCGACATGTTCTCTCCATTCACGCTGGTCAAGGCCACAGTTAGCTTGAGGTCAGTCATGATGCCCTAGAAAATGTCCTCCCTTTACTGTTACGTTTTCTTTTTTAAAACCCTTGCGTTTTTTTTTAAATCCAAGTTTTAAATATGTATGCGATCTATGGCAGTTTTTTTATTTGAATTTGTGATTCGGTAGACCGGCCGGCGGCTTACAAAACGAAGAATATAAATGGAGTGTAAATTCTGAAGCCTTGAATATTTTTTAAACTTCTTTCTTTGTCCTCTTCTTCTTTCACACTGCCGGCAACCCAGCTCGCGTTCCATTGTTTCCAGGATCAGTGATGGGAGGTTTATACGTTTTGTACCTAAATATATACCTACCTTTATCTAGCCGATATGGTAAGCCATAAAGTACCTAAAGCTATAAATATTTTTAAAAGAGTAAATGTGAACTTTTAAAAAATTTATGATATTAAATTTTAAAACTAAAAACAATTGATTTTTTTTTAAATTTTATTTAATGTATAAGTATCTAAAACTAGCTAGGTACATTCTACTCTCAAAAGGACATCATGTACCTTTAGGTATGAGCCCTTATCTATTGAATCCCTTTCCATCACTAGCCCAGGATTGTATTCTGTTATCGATATCAGCGGACGAGCTTTTATTCAAGTGCAATATCTACAGGGTCTTAATTCTAAACTTGCGTTCCACCGTCTTGACGAAATCGATGAAATCCTTGTAGAGGACTTTGGGCACCTCGAGGGCCGCAAAGTGGCCACCCTTCTTGTAGTAGGTGCTGTGGACCAGGTTCTTGAACTTATCCTGCAGCTGGGTGTCCAAAAACTGCATGATGTCGCTCTTGAAACGGGCACATCCCGTGGGCACCACTGTAGGAACCCGCTCCAGTTTCAGATCACGTTGCTCTTGGGTATACTGCTCCGCGTAGAGACGCTGCGAGGTGGTGATCGAATTGGTCAGGTAGTAGATCATGACATTGTCCAGCAGGGCGTCCATTTTGTAGCGCTGGGTGAGTCCTCCGTCCGGCAGAGATCGGTAGCTGGCATTCGTCCACGTAGAGAACTTCTCCAGGATGTAGGCAGCAAGGCCCACAGGATTGTCGGTGAGAGCAGCGCCGATGGTGTCCGGCTTGGTGGCCTGAATATGGAAGTAGCCACTCTCCTCCATGAGGTATTTCAGTTCATTAGACTTCGGGAAGAAGAAGTCCTCGAAGCCCTTGGGCGCAAAGAAACTGGGCCAGAGTCCTGCCAGGAAGCCCTTCACCATGGATTTGGGGCTTAGGTTATTGCACATATTCGAGTGGTAGCCCAGGACACTATCGGGGTACAGGGTGGCAATGTTGCTGCCAATGACACTGCCCCAGTCACCGCCCTGGATGAAGAATTTGTTGTAACCCAAGCGCACCATGAGATTCCTCATGATCACGGCCACCTGGGCGGGTCCCAGACCCTGACGAGAAGTGCCCTGAAAATGGAGGTTTTGATAAACAGTCTCATCCATACGTCGATTTAAGGACACCCACCTGTGACCATCCGTAGCCTGGCAAACTAGGCACAATGACATTGAATATGTACTTGTTGTTCTTGTCCAGATTGCTCTGGTGCAGCAGATGGATAAAGTCGTAGAACTCCCGAACCGATCCCGGCCAGCCGTGGAGCAGCAGCACCGGGTAGTGCTGCTTGCCCACCTTGTTTTCGTCGTAGACCATCAAATGGAGGAAGTGTATGCGTAGCCTAGAAATCCATACGGTTACTATCTGGACTATCTATGGATATGATAAGTGGTCCGGGTGGCGGGTGCCCGTTATCTCACCCCTGAATATCGGTGGTGAAGTGATTGAATTGCCAGAGGAACACCTCGCGTTCGCGCCAACGCGGCAGGTAGTCATCGCGCCAGTATTCCACCACTTTCTTGAGGTAATCCGTATTGAAACCGTACTCGAAGGCCACACCCTCCAGCGGAGGAGTAAGCTTCAGGGGGCGGCTCAGTCGGCTCTTTAAGTCGTCAATGGTCTGGGTGGGGAAATTTAAATTATTATATGCACATACGTGTGTATATGTCCAGTATATGCCCCCTCTCACCTGCTCCGGATAAGACAGGCGATTGCCGACAACCTCCGAGCTATTCGCCAGATAGGCGGCATAGTCCTCCGGCTCTGCCTCGTCGCCCCACCACTGTTGGGGATCTAGTTGGGGTGCCGGCAAGTCCGCCCACAGTTGCCTCACGTTCTTGTACACCATTCCCCCGCCGATGGCCAGCAGGAGCACCAGAATTTTCACAATCACACCCATCTTTCCGTATCAGCGGTTCCACTCGAACTGGCTGGGTAGGCAGCCCGCACGGCTTTAGTTTGGCTGCTCCGAAGTTCACACTCACGATGATAAGCGACTTTGAGTGATCGGTCTCCGGACGGCTCTACAGTTGATCAGTTATGGCTTATCGCCGGGTTGAGATTCCGCTCTGGTTTCCCCAGATCGTCAAGTCACTTAGTAGAGGCTTCTTAAGTCAGAGATGACGAGCTCAACTTGGCGATCTGTTTGTTTATTTACCCGGCGAGCTTTTTGTGTTTGGAGCTTTTGGAGATTTGTGGATCTATATTTCTACTATAATACTATGTATACAATATGCATGTATATATGTAGGATGGTATATAGTATACATAGGCAAAAAAAAGAAACGCCGGTGTTTATTGATATTTTGCGACGCATCTGGGGTTTCAAACTCAGGTAGCTCCATATACCTTAATACCCTATTATGAATGAGGGTAGTATCATAATACCCAGGAAAATTATAATATAAGTTATATAGTATCTGTGTATAGATAAATAATAAATAATTTATTTTAGATTTGCAATTCTAGTTTAAAGCCCAAAATGCTTATTAAAATAAAAAATATCAAAATATTAAAAATGATTTTTAGAAAAATAGCTCCTTACTATATACATTTTTCAAAATTATATAAAACATAGGGCATACAAAAATAGCCATTAAACAACTTTTTTTTATTACGTAAGCTTATTGCAAGCTTGATTTTATTTAAATATTTATGTGAATGGAGACAAACAAACCCATAAGAAAGTAAATAAACCCTATCCTTTCTTTCTCCCCTATCACGCTTATCAATTATTATTTTTTGATCACAAACCTCCTCAACTTTCGGTTTCTAAATGAGATTTCTTATCTCAGAACATCAAAAGTTAATTTTTTTATTTTATTTTATTTTTAACAGACATTACCATTCTTTAAATCGAAAATGATTTTGAATTCCTAAAACTAATGGTTAGAAAATAATGGGTTTTTTTACAAGTTCGCCTTCTTCACAAAGGCAACAAAGTCTTCGTACAGGAGCTCGGGCAGTTCAAAGGCCGGGAAGTGTCCTCCGTCCCGGTGGTGGGTGTTGTGCACCAGATTCGGGAACTTGTTGGTCAGTGCGGCCTCCGGGACGTGGGTGATTTCGTTGATGAAGTGGGTGCAGCCGGCCTTGGCCTGAATGGGCACCGAATCCACGTTTAAGGCAAACTGCTTGGAGTACATCGACTCGGAGTACAGACGCATGGAGGTGGTGATTGAGTTGGTCACATAGTAGATCATCACGTTGTCCAAGAGCTGGTCGTAGGTGAACCGCTTGGTGAGGCCGCCATCGGGAAGCTTCCGGTACTCGGTGTTTGTCCAGGTGGAGAACTTCTCGAGTATGTAGGAGGCCAAGCCCACTGGATTGTCGATCAGGGCGTTGCCAATAGTATCGGGCTTGGAGGCCTGAATGTGGGCGTAGCCCATCTCCTCCAGTATGGTGCCGAATAAATCACCCAATCCCTTGTAGAAATCGCTGTACTGGGGGTCTACAAACCAGCTGGGGAAGACCGAGGCCAACACTAACTTGATGCTCGCCAAGGGGCTGTTGTTCGTGCACATGTTGGAGTGGTAGCCCAGCACGTTCTCCGGGAACAATGAAGCCACATTGGAACCAATAATGGATCCCCAATCGCCGCCCTGAACCAGGAACTTCTCAAAGCCCAGTCGAAGCATCAGGTTGCGCATGACCACCGCCACTTGGGCCACTCCGAATCCTGTTTTTGAAGAGCCCTGAAATGGATGATTTTTTGAGTTAGGTATCATGTGATTCGGAGGCACGTTCTATCTTACCTGAGACCATCCGTAGCCCGGCAGACTGGGAGCAATCACCTCAAAGACGTAGTCGCTCTTGTCACTAGGAGTGGTCAACAGAGGAATGAAGTCGTAGAACTCCCGGACAGTTCCGGGCCATCCGTGCATGAGGAGCAGGGGAATAACCTTCTTGGGGGCCTGGCCCTTCACTTGGGTGGGCTTGGCATGAATAAAGTGAATTTGCAAGCTGTTTTGCAAATTAGAACATGAGGTCAGTATGTAGGGTTAATCGAAAGGGTCACCGAAAACTTACCCTTGGATTTCGGTTCGGAAGTGGTCGAACTTCTTGAGGTACTGCTCCCTTTTATCCCAGTTGGCCAGATAGGTATCCTTCCAGTATTTCACCACCTTGGCCAGCTCCTTGGAGTTGAAGCCATATTCAAATCCGACTCCTTCCAGGGGCTCCTGGGCTTTCAGGGGACGGCTTAGCTGATTCTTCAGATCTTCAATTATCTGGAATTATAGGAATGTACACTTTTCTAATCTTATCAATTTCACAAAAATATATCATGATTGTTATGTGGCTATCAATCATAAAAATCAATTAAAATTCAAATACTTTTTTTGTTCACTTGAGCTTTAGGTTTTAAACAATAAAAATATTTTGTCTCAAATGTCTAATAAATACATTACTTATTTATTAATTTTTGTCAATATATTACCTCTGGCTTCACGCTGATGTCAAAGGGCAGAATAACCGTGGCCTCCTTCACCGATTCCCTTGACTTTGGACCCCAGAAGGCCTTGTTGTCCAGATCGGGCCTCTTGCCCGGAGCCTGCAGATCCCGATAGTTTTTGTAACCGATGGCCGCCAACATGGCGAGTCCTCCGACCAGGAACCGCACCCAAATGTTTGCCATTTCAAATCTTAATTCCTAACGCCAACTGCTCGGTTTCGTTAACTTGATGGAAATAATTTTATTTTGTGAACGATCCGCCGAAAGAAAGCTTTGCCGGCTTTTGGATCGCATGTGGATCTTCGCTACAGCTGCACTGCAGTGCGAGCATGATGAGGCACAAAACGAAAGCTTTCCCATCGAAATATTTTGCCGCCAATTCATGCTTAGAATACGAAACGAGCTTTGAAATTAGGAAGGGGAAGATGATCAGTTGGTTTGTTTATTTATCAGCGATGTATTTCAGGTAGACTTTATTCAGAATCATGCTTAGCAGATGCTTAGAAACAGCTTTGATTAAATAATAAATAATAGTGGCGTTTATTTTCATTTTTCGTTGAGTAAACATGAGTAAAACTATTTTTTTTTATAATATTTTCTTTTAAGATTTTAATAATGTTTTTTACAAAAATACAAAATTTCATTATAAAATTAGTCTAGTTTTTAAAATAAAGAAAAATATTTGTAGACTTTCATTCGAATAATAAAAGTTTAAAAGTTAGCTTTTTTAAAAAAGGTAATAAAATCATCGTAGAGCTTCTGGGGCACCTCGAAGGCCGGGAAGTGTCCTCCCTCTGCGTGGTGGGTACTATGAACCAGGTTGGGGAACTTGTTGGCCAATACCGAGTCCGGGAAGTGGTTGATTTCGTGGCGGAATCGGGTGCAGCCAGCCTTGGCCAGTATAGGGATCGAGTCGACCTTTGTCGAAAACTGATCCTTGCTCGCGTATTCCGCGTATAGTCGCATGGAGGTGGTTATGGAGTTGGTCACATAATAGATCATCACGTTGTCCAGGAGCTGGTCGTAGGTGTATCTCTGGGTAAGGCCCCCATCTGGCCGGATTTTGAACTCCGTATTGGTCCAAGTGGAGAACTTTTCCAGGATGTAGGAGGCCAAGCCAACGGGATTGTCGATCAGGGCGTTGCCAATGGTGTCTGGCTTGGAGGCCTGGATGTGAAAGTACCCCATCTCCTCCAGTATGACTCCGAAAAAGTGTCCCAGTCCCTTGTAAAAATCAGCGTACTCAGTGTCCACAAACCAACTTGGGAAGAATGAGGACAACACCAACTTCAGGGACCCCAAGGGACTAGAATTCATACACATGTTGGAGTGGTAACCGAGAACGTTTTCGGGAAATAGGGCTGCTAAATTGGATCCAATGGCGGAGCCTGCATCGCCACCCTGAACCAGGAACTTTTCAAATCCCAAACGAACCATTAGGTTTCGCATCACAACAGCCATCTGGACCACACCGAATCCTGTTTTGGAAGAGCCCTATTTTAGATAGAAGGTATATTACATACAGGGTATATTATATACTCAGCTGATAAATATTTAAGCTTACCTGAGACCATCCGTAGCCCGGCAGACTGGGAGCTATCACTTCAAAGACGTAGTCGCTTTTATCACTAGGGGTGGTCAATAGAGGTATGAAATCGTAGAACTCCCGAACGGTTCCGGGCCAACCGTGCATCAGGAGCAACGGAAGGACCTTCTTTGGATTTTGGTTCTTGTCCAGATTCGGCTTGGCATGGATAAAGTGAATTTTTAAGCTGCCAAAAAAAGGAAAGGATGATATCATTCACCACAGGGACATACATATATTATATTAACTTACCCTTGAATTTCGGTTTGGAAGTGATCAAATTTTTTCAAGTACTCCTCCCGTTCGCTCCACTTGGTTAGATAGATATCCCGCCAGTATTTGACCATTTTACCCAGTTCCTTGGCATTGAAACCATACTGAAAACCTACGTCCTCTAGGGGTTCCTGAGCCCTCAATGGACGACTTAGTTGGGCCCTTAAATCCCCAATAATCTGTCAATAAGACAATTTATTTAATATCTAAATTATATATTTTTTTAGTATTTCTTACCTCTGGTTTTACACTTATATCAAAAGGTAGAATGGATTGATTCTCCCGATATGGTTCTTTTAGTTTTGGACCCCAGTAGGCTTTAATGTCCAGCAAGGGGCGTTCGCCTGGAGCCTGAAGATCGCTGAATTTCTTAGAGCCTATGGCTGCCAGCAATGCTGGGCCTCCCACCATGAATCCTATTACAATCTTACCCATAATTAGCCTTTATAACTGTTAAAGTTAGTTAGCCAAATACAAATGATTTGAGTTTGCAAACCACCGGCACAAGAAAGCTTAGCCGGCTCGCAAAGTTTGTAAACAATGTGGATCTTAAAATACACGATCCACAGCAATGCAAGCATGATCAGACGAAAACCGACGTTAGAAAGCTTTTTAAATTAAATAATAGAAAGGTTTGATGAGATCAAAGCTTTAAAATTAAATAATATATTATAAGATCGCAGAAATGTTTGATTTTATTTCTACTAAGAAACAAGTTTGTTAAACCCAAACACACGACAATGTATTTAACGATCCGAAATGTTTTATTGTATAAGTTAAAAGGTGCTTTCTATGGGAATATTTTTTATTTGATCTAAAAATATCATAAGTACAGAATAAATATCTTTATAGAAACCGTTAAACGGACCAATCGGATATACCAAAACCATTGTACGGATAGAATTAAAATGGGACTTTTTATGAAATTCGTATTTTGCAAATATTTCTCCTTCTCATATACTTTTTATTGTTTGAATATGGATATTATTCAATCAGTAGAAAATTAGACTGAGAAGTATTAAAGATGCTCTGAATTCATGACTTGGGAGTAATTGCTCAATTAATAATAATTAACACTCAAATGCATCTTACAATAACATCTCTAAAATTTCCCCTTGTTTTGATAGTAATTACCCCTACCCGAAAAGAAAATAAACTTGGTTGGTTTAAGAATATTTTATAAAAACAATTTATATATTCTCTTCGCCATGCAGACCTACTTTCCTCGCAAAAGTGGTAAAGTCATTGTACAACATGGCCGGCATTTCCAGAGCAGCAAAGTGGCTGCCCTGCTGGAAGTACATGGAGTGCTTCAGGTTGGGGAACTTGTCCCTCAGCTGCCAGTCCGTAACGGAGGGCAGATCGAACCGGAAACGGGCACAGCCCATTGGCACCGGGGACTGCACTCGGTCTAGTTGCAGATCCCTGTAGGTCTTGGACACGTTCTCCAGGTAGAAACGGGCCGCCGTGGTGGCGGAATTGGTCAAATAGTAGACCATCAGGTTATCCAGCACAGCCTCCAGACCGAATACCGTGACAATGGCTCCAAAGTCCTGCTGCAGGCCGGGATTGGTGCAGGTCTGGAACTTCTCCAGTATGTACGAGGCCAGGCCCACCGGGCTGGAGGTAAGCGCCGCTCCAATGGTATCGGGCTTGGTGGCCTGAATGTGGAAGTAACCGCTCTCCTTCAGAAGCTCCTGATATTTCTCCCACACCGGGAAATGATGGTCAACGAAGAATCGCGAAGGCAGATACTTTTCCGGGTAGAAACTTGCGTAGATTCCTTTCAGGATGGCCAGGGGAGAGTGAAGAACACACATATTGGAGTGGTAACCGATCACGTTCTCCGGATAGAGAGTCGCCAGGTTGCTGCCAATGATGCTGCCCCAATCGCCACCCTGAATGAAGAACTGTTTGTGTCCCAAGCGGAGCATCAAGTTGCGCATCACGGTAGCCATTTCTGCCGCATTGAATCCGGGACGTGTGGCAGGCTGGAAGAGAAAGTATTTTAAAATATTTGATGGACATTATGACCATTTAATGCTTACATCAGACCATCCATAGCCCACTAGGGAGGGAGCCACCACGTCGAAGGCATAGTCGGAAATGTTTTGATCCTTGGTCAGCATGGGGATGAAGTCGTAGAACTCCCTCACCGATCCGGGCCAGCCGTGGAGCAGGAGAACTGGGTAAACATGCTTTCTGGCAGCTGCTTCCTCACTGGCTTTTTCATAGATGTAGTGGATGTTTAATCTGAAACAAAGTTTTTAAATTTGTAAATAAATTTCCATTAAAATGTTATTAAAAAATCTTGAAAATTCCATGTTCTTAAATCTTAAACTTAATATGTTTTCCTAAAAATATTAGCTTTAAAAAGTTCTATGGATATTATTAACTTTTTTGAAGAAATAGTCAATAATGAGCTAAATTTTTAGTTTAATATTAGTTTTAAAAGTCATTAAAAAACCATCTGCTTTATTTTTAATGACTAATGTTAAAAAAAAACAAATGAGTTGTGAGAAATAAAAAACATACCCCTGAATCTCGGTGGTGTACTGCTTCAGGGAGTTAAAGAGCTCCTGGCGTTCGTCCCACTTGGTCAGGTACTTGTCCCGCCAGTAATCCACAAACTGCTCCAGGGCGTAGGTGTTGAATCCGTACTCGAAGGCGATGCCATCCAAGGGCTCCGTCAGTTTCAGGGTGCGGTTTAATTGCTGGCGGAGATCGTCGATCTCGGACTGGGGAACGTCCAGCTTGAACTCGTAGATCTTCGTGTCGGGCTTGTAATCCTTCTCTTCTCCGGGTCCCCAGTAGGTTTTGTCATTAAAATCCGGCTTGGGCAGGGGCTTGACGAGATCCGTGAACACCAGGTAGCCGTAGCCACCGAACGCCGCAAACGCGGCCACAATCAGTCCAAAGACTATCAGGCACTTCATCTTGGCCGCAACCACAATTAGTTCTCGCGTCTAGAATTTCAATGAGCTCTCCCACGCCGATAAGCAAGTCCCATATGCTTTTCCCGATCCGAGCCCGAATCCAAATGAAGACGAGCAGAAGCAACCACTCGATCGAAATGCCGCTAACGAACTGACGGTCCGAAAACCCGTAAAATCGTTGCAAAGCTCTATCAAAATTCACTGTCACCAGTTCATAGTATAAGTATTTTTTGTAGTATTTATAAATTCAGTTTAGATAGCACTACGGGGCGCTGGCTATCAGGTACAGTGTGTCCAAATTTGTCGAGTCATGAGTAAACTTTGATCTGTGAACTTTTTTCGGGGGCATGCGAAAATTTGTTCAACAATCAAGAGTAATTGCTTTTTTTAATGAAAATGTGATATAATAATACATTCTTAAATTAATTTTTATGAATCATGTTTCAAGGTAAATATAATTTATATATAAAGTAACGACTTACATATGTATATGTTTAATATAAGTATGTAAATGATATTTAAATTAAACCTACAAATGAGATATTATTCGAACATAACATTTTTTTATTAGATCAGAAATATTAAATAGTATCTAAACCATCATAATATACTTAGTATGTAGAGGTATGGGGTGTACAAAGTCCGATGCTATTTAGCAATTTGTTTTTTTATATTTAACATTTACATTGATATTTTACACAACTTCCGAGAATTTAAAATTCGGTTTCATTTTAGGAGACTTACCATTTTTTTTAAAGTATATTCAAAGTCTAAATTTCAAACCTTTTGAATCCAAAATTATATAATTGTATCATGCTTCAGTTAAATTTCTCATAAACATATTTGAAAAAAATGATTAATTTTCAAATAAATATGTAAAATAGCCTTAAGCAAAATACTCTTATATAATTTTGGATTCAAAAGGTTTGAAATTTAGACTTTGAATATACTTATATTATATATATATTATATATATATATTATATTATATAATTGTATCATGAACTGAAGCATAGAAATGAAATGCATGAGGTTTAAATTAGTTAATTATTGAAATTTGTAAACAGCTTATTTTGGAAAATAGCCAATCAATCATATCTAACTTTTTTAATGTATTTAAAATTTAAATTCAAAAATGGTATCAAGTAAGCTTTAAATAATGCATGTTATAAACCCCTTTCTCCCAAGGTGCCCATCGAGGTTCGTCTGCCTTTAATCAAGCCTACGTCTGCACCTCAAATGGCTTATTGATTTGAATCAAGATACGCTGACCCACACATTGGAGGAACCTTTGCGAGTATTCGTGAGAGGGACTCCATTCTCCGGGGAGTAGCCCGGACGACTTAAAAGTAAGCATTATCTTATCGGGGCGCACTTATTTATGGGAAACCGCTTCACCGGCAACCGATTGTAAATCTCAGCCCTTCAGCTACTCTGATGATGTGGCTGCAAAAAAATAAAACTGAATGAAAGATCAGTAGGCCACGTGGATACTTCAAACAATAATTTGGAAAAACCCTCAGACTCAGCATATACTTTTTCAAAAATCCCCAGACTACACACATCATGTTTGGAGCAACTTGTACCCAGAAAATTAAACTTTGGATGCAATCCATGGACGGATATCGTCTGCCGTGCAAAGTGGATCGATTTCAACCCCTGGCCACCATGCTCAAGGACACATACCGCAAGAGCAGGGGACGATGGAGCGGCCGCATGAAGCTCACCTTCGATGGGCAGCAGATCATGGAGTGGGACACCTGCAACTCCCTAGGCATGGTGGACGACGATCTCGTACACGTTCACATTACCCGCTACGGCGATGGCCCCAAGTGACCAGATGGGCATAAATTTTTGTAACGTTTTTTGATAAATGGTAGAACTGAGTCAACGAACTTGGCCAAGTGGTTGGGCTTTGGGGTAGCCATGTGGTGGGTGGTTGGGTTGTTGGCTGGTCAGTGGGTGGTTGCAGGAAATCCTTTGTGGTTTGGCAGGCGCCATGCACTTGTCATCATATCAAAGCCAAGTCGCCGCTACCACGGATAATTTGTATAAATTGTGAGGCAAAACAATTATGTTGTCGACATGCAAGTACACGATAAAATATAAGTATGAAGTAATTATAAAATTTAAGTTCAAAGGGCTCTTTGAACGATAGGGCTCTGTACAAAAATGAGATTTAAAGAATTTCAACAATATAGGTATGTATTAAATTTATTTTTTTACTTCTTTGCATGATTTCTATAGGGGATTTTCGACATACCTAAAATCTGAAGAGTTATTTTTAGATATTCGGATTAGAATCTAAGAAGGATAGAAATAATAATAATAATTAAAGAAGAATAGGATCAAAGCTTGATCTTCAAACTAATTTCCCTTCTGGTAATTTTTGGAAATTAAATTTTCGTTCCGGATATTATTATTAAAGAAATTATTATAGGAATCAATCCAAATTTCATTAACATACCTGTTATAATATTTATGAAGTTTTATCTTCATTTAAGATGATCTGTGGTAAATGTATGACAAGGATTCAACATTAATAAAATATTTTTAAATAATTTTAGTTTTTTAATTTCTTGTAATAAGAAATAAACTTTCAAGAATATTGTTTTTTTCTCTGCACAGAACCCCTTGGAGGGAAAAGAAGGCCTCAAAAAATCCACAAAAGTGCCGCCAAACATGCAAGACAAAACCCTAAAAAAAGGGGGCGTAGTCTCGTGGCAAAAACAATTTAAACAATAGGATGAGAAATGTAATTCGAGTGAAATTAACGCAATTACTGTGCCGCAGCCAAAGGACTTGATTCACTTCCGATTCCGTATACTCCGCCGATGCACCAAAAAACCAAACAAAAAATAAAAAAAGTTTGCTCGCGTGCCGCAAACAAATCGCATTGATACCTGGAAGCGTGTCAAAGCTGCCACCTCCAGGGAGGGGAAAAATAAAATATAAAGGTTCCTAGCCCGGATCCCAATCGGTGGCCATTAATGCCCTTTCTGGCTGGCTAATTCCCATTTTATTGAGTGCTCGGGAATAAAACTCGACTGTTCCAGTTACACTTCAGGTTAAAGTTTGGGATTTTTGGTGCCGTGGCAACCGCCCCCCACCAGGCTATACCTGTCTAGGGGGCGTGGCCTTAATGTCCGCAATTAGCTTTTCATTCAGTCAACACGCACTTGTCGTAAAGTCCATTGAACCTGGTCCAAATTGATTTTCGTTTGGGCAGGCCGGGCAAAAGTAATACAGTTGTAACTACAAAAAATAATAATATTTAATCTATACCTTCATTGCTCTATAAGAAATCGTACGAAAAAGTATGCCATTGCCAATTAAACTAAATATTCGCCGGGTGGTCATCAGTATTTTGGCGACATGGAATATTTTGGGGGGCTTTGGGTTCTACGCCTATGTCCTGGACTCCTATGGTTCGTCAAGTTGAAATGGAACGGAAGAGGAAATTCTTGATAAGTATTAAGAATATTTCACTTTAGTAAATTATCCCGAAAACCACGAAAGACGTCGGTTCAAATATCACTTATTTGAGGGGCGAATTAACGATGAAGTTGTGATTGGAATATCAGTGGTAATGCTTTGTCAGATACTATCAACTGTGTTTCTGGTTTTTGCATTTGATGAGGTATATTCTTAGGACTAAATAGTATAATTTATGTATTTAATTTATTTATTAGTCAAGGAATATGTTTCTGATCTATGGAATAGTTTTCTGTTTACCTTTTGCCTTTTCAAGCCTGCCTGTATGGCCAATAGCTGGTGAGTTTTCAATATAATTTAATATCAATATATTTATTTTATTTTTTCTTCAATAGTCACTCATGTTTCTCTGGCTCTGATGACCCTGAGTTTCTATTTTAGCTGACAAAATGGAAAAAATTCTATGTTTTTTTTTTAATAAATGTATTTTTTTCAATGCCTAAAAGATTGTCATATGTTTTCTTTGATTCTAAAATGATTTTGAATAGTAACATTATTTCTTAAAATTAAAAATTTCCTAAAACTATTCTTTAAATAGTATTTTCGTAATTTTTTCTAAACATTTTTAGTTATATGAGTTGCAATTCTTCCAAGTTTCATATGAGTTTCTCTTCAGCCTAAAAATATGCCACGTTTGTCGATTATTATTTATAAGTAAAACCTAGTTTTCAAATAAATTTTATTAATTTTTTAAACCCATTAAAATGCTTAAACAAAGTTTAAGTCTTAGCTAAAATTATCCCCAACGCCGGTCCATTCTCCTTGGGCATCATCCCACACTGGAAACTCATTTTTCGAAGGCTCATCATTGCCAGCTTGTCCAATTTCAAATTCGATTGTTTCTGCGTCAGCCTGGCAGGTGACGTGTCCCAGCTGCAAATTGAATTCATTTTCTTGGCATTTTTCTCTCATTTAAATAATTTTGTATGGACACTCACCCAGCAGACCAAAATAATGGCCAATATTGTCACAAATATTGATTTCAACAGCATTTTTCTGTACTTCCTCGCCGTTCGACTTTTGTTTGCCGACTGTTTTCCTGTTTACGTGGCTGCTCTGTTTTTAATCAATTAAAGTTCATTTAATATTTATATTTGTATTATTTGTGTTTATTTACAAACCCTCGGCCTTATCTGTACCGGTGAACATTATTCAATGTACCTCAGTTGCAGCATTCAACGCCTGTTTAAGGGAAAATATTTAGTATTCGACACATTTAAAAAATGTATTAGGTAAATTTATTAATTTTTGTAAGTATATATAGAATGTTTAAAATATGAAATCCATTTCTCTATAGACATCTATCAAGATTCTCGGATCCCCCGATTCGAACTGCAGATAAAGATGCATCTTCATGACTTATGACAGGGGATACCCTAACTGGGGATTCTTTCGATCGACCTACCGTCCTGGTCTACCTATAAAGGAGGCTCTAGTTTCTGGTTTCTATATCAGTCAAAAACCTGAAGCGCTCCAAACAAAATCAACCAAGATGCAGTTTACCATCATACTTGTCCTGTTCTGCGGCATCATTGGCTCTATCCTGGCCTATCCGATGCCCGAGGAAGCCACACCACCGCCCAAGTATCCCCTCAATCTCGAGGGAGGGGGTGGTGGTCAGAGGGGTGATGGATTCGGCTTCCATGTTTCCGGAAGTGAGAATGTCTGGAGGAGCGACAATGGGCGCCACGAGATCGACTTGAACGGAAAATACGGCCAGCATCTGGGAGGACCTTATGGAAATTCTGACCCCAGCTACCAGTTTGGAGCCAACTACCGCTTCAGGTTCTAGGCCATAAAGTCCACATTGTATTATCTGATTGAATGTGAAATATAACCATTATCAAATATAACGTGTGCCTGACCATAGTTTCCCTATCTGAAATGCCATCGGAGTCCTTGACGTTGTTTGTTTACCCCGGAACATGCGATTAGGTATTTTTTGCTCAGAAACTCAGGTCGGGTCACAGATGATCTTGCATTTTGGCTAATTGTCGGATACATCTTGTTTGGCCATCTCCGTTGGGTAATAACAAATTACGATGACAGGCGGTCTTAATGAAACCTGCCAAGACAAAGTGTGTTTTTTGCTAATTGGATTTATTGCGTAAACTGTCGAAAGAACCTTCGATGGAAATTTATCATGCCTAACCCGAAAAAAATACAAATTATTACGCCATGTCTCTAACGAAAGCGAATAGGTTTGCCAAAAAATGATTCATGAAGAGGTCAGAGTTCTAAACTTTTTTTGGTCATATTTGGGGATTACCAAAAGTTTTTCACATCATTAATTTGCCCTAAGGAAATCCGAATTGGATTGACCTTGTAAGATGATGAATTGATTTGGGTTTGAAGTTCTCTATTTTTGCCTGAGTAGCCGGAACCTGTAGGTTGTTTTCTTGTTTGGTTTTCTGGAAGAGACATCTTCCAAAAGAAACAGATAAAAGCCAAAAAAGTTTACCAACAGGTAGAAGAGCGGAAGATATATTTAATAAAATTATGAACAAAGAAAGTGTTTGTCGCACTGATTAAATTAAAAATAAACTATGTACTATAATTTTTATAATATAAATACTTTAATTTGTAAGATGCTGATTACTAGATTTTTTAAAGCCGTATGCTTTAATAATTGAGGCAAATGCCTCCCTACTCTTTTTTATTATTAATTAAGGAATAAAATATTATTAATATTACATAATATATATTAAGGAATAAATATAAAATATTATATTAAAATATCTATCTACATATTTATATATTTATATTTGGAAATGGAATTTCAAAAAAACACCTGTAGGTTGCCACACTTGGTTATCACATTTATTAAAATAAAAATGTTGTGTTAAAATGATTGATATTGTATAATTGATATTATTTTTAGGTATCTTGCTATAAAAAGATATATAAATTAAAAAAAAAAGTTAAAAAAATAATGACGAGATTAACAATATTCAATTAAAACTTAAAACTCAAAAGTAAATAACAAAACAGATCTTATTAACAAAGACTTTAAATATTTATACAAATTAAAAAACAAAGGAAAAAGCTTTATATTTGGATTTCGCTAACAAGTCATGAAAAATTTAACCTGCTATGACGAAAAGTGGGCTTCCCCTTAGCTAGTTTACAAGAATTTATGGATATTACAGAAAAGCTTGAATGATTCCTTGTCTTAAATTACCTTTAAAATGTCACTCCACCTCATTCATTGTTCTCGTGTGGGATTTACTTTGCCGACTTGAGATTTGTAGATCATTTGAGACGGACGATGTGTGTTCTCTTATCAAATAGATGAGGGGATCCACGGGTGAACCACTGGACCTCTGAGGTCTAAGCTAGACCGGCCGGGATTCCCTGTTGGGGATTCATCTGCCAATATTGATAAGCTACCGAATCTTGCTATAAAAGAGCTCTCTCCGCGGTTCCAGCCACATTCAGCTGACAAAGTCAAATCGAAGCAAAATGCATTCCTCTACCGCTTTCCTGTTCCTTGGCCTGGCCTGTGTCTGCCTCATCTCCAGTGCTCTGGCTTATCCTTACCCGGAACCTCAAGGACCTATTGATCTGCAGCCTCAACCCTTGGCGGTAAGTTCATGGGCACAGACATATATGGAGTAAGATTTTTATTTGAATTTCATTGTACAGTATTCCCCCGATTTTGACAACGTGGCCATGCCCCGAGTGCGCCGCCAGATTCAGTTGAACGGCGGCGGCGGTGGCAGCCCCAAGCAGGGATTCGACTTGAACCTCAACACCCGGGTCCCCGTCTGGCAGAGCAACAATGGTCGCCACTCCTTCGACGCCACGGGCCAGTACGGCCAGCATCTGGGCGGTCCTTATGGCAACAGTCGCCCTCAATGGGGCGCTGGCGGAGTCTATACCTTCAGGTTCTAGAAAGTGTTTCCCTAATTTAATACTATTTATTGTTTGAAGAAAGAAAAAATTAAATATTCAACCGAAAGTCACTGTTTATTTAGTTCCAAGCATAATCAAAATTAAATTCCTTATCAGTCTGATTGAAGACAAAGATTGTGGAATCGGGACGGGGAACTGAAACCTAAAAAGTTAGAAACAAACAAATAAGATAAAGCAAGTGGATGGGGATATCACTAAAAACTCACCCCTTCCAAGTCATCCAAGCCGCCCACAGATCGACCTTGGATGAGGTCAAAGATGTAGAGAATAAACCAGACACTCAGTAGACCCAACATTCCGCCCGGAGATGCTCTGACCGACTGAATTCACGTTTTGAAACCGAAAAGCCTATGACCCTGAGTTTCAAAACCTGATAAGAGGCCGATAAGGTGGCGAGTGGATGTGTGTCAAGAGCCAAGACTAGACCAGGCCAGGCCCGATCCGAGCTGAAACCCGAGACCAGGTCAAAGCTAAAACAGACAGAGTGCCAAACCCAGATGAACTGTATTAAATTTGGGGAACGTGCAATTGGCAGTCAAATTTGGCACGTTTTCTGTTGAAATCGAAAAGAAGCCAAAACAAAACCAGCACAACGAATCCAAACAATAACAGCACCAATGAAAAAATAAATGAAAAACAAATTTAAATGTTAGAAGCAACACAACAATGAAGGTCAGGCTATGATGACTTTTCCCCCCATCCTGAAAAAAAAACTGAAAATATCTGCAAAAAGCCGAAACCAACAAGAAATTTCGTTGCGCTTTTGCCTCCGTTTTTGTTTTTTTTTATTCATTTTTTTCGAGCCTGACCCGTGTTGTCTTGGCTTAACTGGGCAAGTTGCTGTCTGATAGCTTCAATTTCTGGCCAATTTTCCTTTTAATACTCTGCTCATGGGGTATAGTTATGTAAGTGGTTAAGTGTTTTTTAAGGAATTTATTAAGGATTTAGAGATGTCTTAGGTAAACTGCAAAGATTTGTAATGTTTCATTTACTTTAAAATTTAAATAAAAAACTGTTTTATCAGGTTCTTCAAAAAAATATTAAAATATCAGAAAGCATTTGCTTCGAACTTAAATAGCAAAAACTTAGCAAATAGCAAGACTTAAAAAAATAACTATTTAAAGAGTATTTCTTGGAAGTATATACTCCAAAAGTAACCCTTTTTCTTCAGAGGGTGCTGCTGCGCTTTCCTCCTCTGTTTTTCATGTCATTTTCATATGGAGAGTGCTCCAATTTGAGTGGAAGAGCTATTTTCTAAATCAATGCGCAAATTGTCAAAGTCAAAAGCGAGGGAACTTCTTTTGTTTGGCTTCAGTCTGGCTTTTCTTTGCGGGAAAATTGGCCCCGCTCCGAAAATTGTAGCATCGTCGTTGGAAGGAGGGGTAGACGGATTGAATGACGGTGGGTGGATTGTTTTCCAAATTGCACATGTGGCATGCAACTCATTTGTCAAGTGGCAAATCAGTTTAGGCCAAAGCCAAGCGGCCAAAGAGCCATATAGCCATATAGCCGAATAGCCAGAATGCAGCGATGGAGAGCCAGAAAAGACTGAGTTGACGATAAAATCTACTTTGCATTTACCATGTACTTGAAGTTTTCCCGGCGAATCGGCGAAGTTTTCCCCGTTGCCGTTTGATCGTGACGATCGACGGCATTTCCCACGCAAACTTGCCTTGTGGACTTGGCTCAGATTGCAGCAAGTTAAATTGTTTGACACACTCAACACTCGGCTCTCGGCTCTTGTCTTTGATTGTATCGGAAACCGAACAAACATGGCCAAAAATTTATGCTCTCCATAAGCCAAGTTTCTAATGAGCCCAAGTGGGTGTGTGGGTTAAAGAAAGTCGGCAGTCGACAGTTGGCGGATGGCGGATGGCGGCTGACAGGGGCACTAAAAATCCATCCACCGCCACTAATGGCTTTTTAATGAAGGCCGCTACTTGGCAGAACTTGGCAATTTTGTCAGCCTCAAGTGAGACTAAGTAACTCAAATTAAGCGAATTAATTATGACTGGCGACTTGGGTGTGGAAAACTAAGCCGCAGGGATTTGTGTAGTTAGTGGGCGGATGGAAGAGAAATGGCCAGAGACCGGGCTGGAGCCAGAGTGGAAAAGTGCAAAAGTTAGCAGGTGCCAGGCGGGCTTTTGGCTTTTCGCATTTGCATTTGACATTTGCCAAGATGCGCCAAACCGAAACCCCGAAAACTGTAAGTTGCAAGTTGCAATCTGCAAATGCAGTGACTCCCTCAAGAGTCTAGCCGAAACGAAAAAAAGCGGGATCGCGGCATTTTGGCCTGCTTACTGCATTTGGCCAAAATGTCTATAGTTCAATTGCTGATATTTTGGCCAGACACACGACGAAACACGTGACCTATGCAACAAAGCAGCAGACGATGGTTGCGTGACACGAAAAGAGGAGCGGAATCGGGGTCACCAGGGCAGGAAAAATTGAGATATAGGCTTATTGGCGTGTGCGAGAAGTATTTTGTATTTGATAAAATAACTGTCTAAAATTATAATAATTTCTTATTTTCTTATAAAAGTTTTATATATAAAAGTTATATTATTATGCTTTTCAAGGTCTTTTTTAGTTTAAACTTTAAACGGACATATATTTAATTCAATTCAATTAAACGGACATATATAAGTAAGGCAACTATTATTAATTCTTTTTTATATACATTTGGTGTCTCAATTTCTTCTTTTAATACAATATTATACAGGAATATAGTAATATTATACATTATTATACAGTACATATTTTTATAAACTAAATTAAAGTAAATGTAAAAATGTGAGTACAAAGGTCTCCTCAAGGTCTCCAACACATTGTTCATTTAATGCCAGATTTTTCTGTTCCTCAATCATAGACAATTATGATTTATAAATATGTTGCTTAAATTGGTTTTTAATATATGTAGTTACATATTGAGCATAAAATTCCTAAATTTTTAACAGGAATAAGTACCTTTAGTAACGTTTTCCAAAATACTGTTAATTGGCAACCTCTATTTAGTCACGCTGCCACCACTAAAGATTTCGTCAAGCTTGCGATGGGCAATAGTTTAATAAATTGTTTGACTTCGATTTAAAATAAATCGACATCAAAAGCTGCACAAATCTTTCAACGTAGAACACCATTTGGTTGGCCCCCTAATGAAGGTTGCAGATGGTGGTTGTTGCTGCTGTGCCATTGATGTTGCTGTTGTCATGCAAATTGGACTCACGTTTTGCGCATTAAGCAACCGTCAATTGTTTCGGCAAATGCAATGATTGAGTTCTTGGCACCTGGCCAAGCCCCCACGGCCCTTAGCTCCCCCAGGACCCCAGAGACCCCATCGAGTCCCCCATAATATTCTTTTTTTTGTTGTAACCCATCAAGGCCCGCATGTGTTGCTGTTAGAGTGGTTGGCTAATTGGAGTCCAGCAGCAAGTTGCAAAAACCTGGCCAGAAACAAGGAATGATGCCTCAACTTCATCTCGATCTTAACAGTAAAAATGAAGACAAAAATATTTACCGTAACGCATTAAGAGAACAAGAACAAAGCTACGATACTGATGTTGTTGCAACTTGTGATGCAGTTGCAGTTGCAGCTATCGGTATCAATAGTAATTTGAGGCGGCCTCTTGGGGGCGGAGATGGAGGAGATGGCGGATGGTGTCGTAGGTCAGCCCAAGCCAACTACAATTTGCGGCCTAGAAGCAACATCGGCAGCAACTGCAGTCGCAGCCACAGCCACAGCAACTGCAACAGCAACAGCCACTGCAACTGCAACTGCAGCACCAACATTGCAATGACGATTTGTAGCCAATTATCTCGAATATTCTATTGAAATTGTGGCTGTGTGTGTCGGTATCTCCCGATTGGCATCTCCAGCAGGCTAAGTTCTGGTCTCCGGCCACTCCACTCTCTCCCCAATTTCTCCCCAGCTTGTCACAAATGACCACTGCGAGTCCGGAAAGCCCGACCACTCCGGCAAGTGGCTGCCAATCGATGGAGAATCTGAAGGCCCGCAGCCTTTGCAGCCTCCAGCTAAGGTCGTCGTCTCCATTCGATTCCCACAGCCTGACGCATCCTTGTCATGTCCTATTAATCATCCCTCAGATCCGACAACCCATCCGAAGAGGTCAACTGCAACTGAAAGCTGCAGCTGCAACAGCACGCGCTGGCTGACCTTTGCAGCAACAACAGCAATCTGACATTCATACGTTAATTTTAGCTTGTTGCATCAGTCAAAGTGCATGTGTCATTGTCTTTGGTTTACACTTGACTGCAAAAGTTGGCCAAGCTACAATATTAAATCGTTAACAAGTAAGAGGATTTTAGCTTAAAACATAAACCCATACATAAAAGCATATACAATTAACTATAGTCACAAATCTTAGAACAAGATAAAAAATGGTTAATTAAGAATATAAAAATCATTGTCGTACCTCCTACAACTTGTTTATTGATTACTTAAATTTATGGACAATATATCTGAAACCCATATACCAGAAAGCTATGTACAATTGAGAAGCTAATTGGCAGAGATTTATTTTCAAACATTCCTAGAATCATAAAAATTGCTGCTGCCTAGTGTCGACTGTTAATCATGCATTTAAAATTCAGCAGCACGATCAAATAAAAAAAAAAAAAGAAAACCTGGCAATCGTCTAACAACCAACAAAGAATGCCCAAGAATGCAACGGCAATTGTCTGGTTCTTGGCCAAGGCAAAAACTTATTAATACCTTATTAGACAAGGGTCGTTGTCGTTGAGCGGACTGACGGACATGCGGACAAACAGAATCCGTCTCTATGGAATATCAATGAGAACGAAACCGCGGCGGCGTTTCCGTTGGACCACCGGTTGGTCCCATGGTGCCACCATGGGCGACAAACCAACGGTGACTGATCAATTCGCGTTTCTGGCGTTTTCGGCCTGCGCCCAGCAGTCACAGGAAATGCAATCATAAATCGCCATGGCGCATAGTAGGCCCTGTCCCATTCCCACTTCCATTCTCAATCCCTCCGCCATCGGTGGAGGTTTATGCTCATGGCTTGGCAATTAGCCGGGCTAAGATCTGGGCACAACCAGGAAGCGATTGTTCTTTGGGGCTTCATAGACGGGGTATTCTAATTTTGACGCACGGTTGGTGAAAGTTAGAATGATGATATTTTTGTTATAAGGTGAAGATTAATTATTATGTTATTAAAAAGTTAGTGTATATATATTAGAATATAATATACGCCAGAAAATGCTTTCTGGTTGTTTTATTTAAAATAAAGGATATGAACACCTGCAATAACATAAATAAAAAATTTAATTGATGCAAGAACTGTGGTATAA